CCTGCCCTCAACTTACATGTGAGATCAACTTATGCATGAGTATGTATGGTCAATCCATTTGTGACCTTTGATTGATGAACGAATTACCTGTGTGTAATTATGTAAGAATAAAATACTTTTGTGGTGAACCATACTGTTTCAGTGATGCAGGTATGTTGTGTATGCACCATCTTGTATGATGGGTTTGAACTAGAAGGCCCTTGTTTCTTCTAACTCTAAGATTCTATATTCTATCTGAGAATGAGAGCTGTTCTGAAGACAATTTCTGAAGCAGTCTTAATTAACTAGTTGTTCTTGTTGTGTGCCTTCAGGTGGTTTCTGACCTGTGACGACCCTATCATGGGGTTTTCTTGGCAAGGTTTGCTGCCATCTCATTAAACGACTCATTAAATAGTGTAGTCCTAATTAGTCTTACTGTTTCCAGCGGGGCTTATCTGGGGATAGGATTTCATACTTAATATAGAGTCTACATGTTTACCCCAAACAGTCTTACAGTTAAGTACAAACAATCAAGCCTGCCTGGTCAGGACATGGGAGCTTTGCCTGTGGAGCTTAGGACACCTTTATTGTTTATCATTTAAAAGCCACATAGTCACAAATTTGCTTTCATGGCACAAATGTCAACACAATAAAACATATTGTATTATGAATGTAATAACTAAAATATAGTTGTGAGGCTTAGCCTTTTCCCTTCCTGATGAAAATGGTCAAAAATAATAATTTGAAACGTGTGTCCCTCTGCCTTTATTTTGCATTAAATCCTTAAGATAGCCAAAAATTAAAAGTGTATAATTCCTTATGAGTTGAAGGACTCATTCCATTTTTGAGAGATCCAGTAGAGGCTCTCCAGTGGAAGAGGGAGAATCTTACCAGTTTTCCACATTTGCTCTTGTTCTGGAGGGTCCCTCATTATCTGGAGGAACTTCTCCAGGGCTACATTAACAGAAGGACAAAAGCTGTGATGTGAATGTTGTTTTTAAGAAGGAAGTCCATAATGAGATACTAACTGAGCGGCGAGGAAGTGATCTTCCTGGATCCAAAATATTGATTGTGTATTTTCAAACACAAGTACCTGTTTTACAGTTGTATTTATTACCATGTGCCTGTGGATTTAAAAATAAATATGCCCAGGTCTCATAAATCCTGCATAAAGTGTGCAAGCAACTCTTTTCCTCCCAAAAACGATGACCTAAGTCATTTAGAAGAATCAATAAGTCATTCACAATAATGTGTGCTTGCAATTTGATCCATATACAACTCAATATCAAGCAGGGGAGCCAGAATATAGTTTATACAGCAGTTTCTCATGTATATTATAGCCTTTTTCTTTTACAACCTGCACTTAGTGCTTGCCTTTAAAGGCCTTCTTAACCATTGCTGAACATGTTTTATCATGTTCCTATTGCTTATGTCCAGTTTTACTACTGCAGGTAAGCAAAAAACCAATGCTTTCAGAAGAGGTTATGTTAGGTAATAGTTTTAAAAATTATTTCAGCACATGCAGGGAAATTGCTAAAATTGAGCTAATACATATTCCTTGAACAAGTTTATACTTGCTTTATCATTTACTGACTGGGGAAATACCTACCAGAGGGCAAATCTGAAATATACAGTAGAAAAAAGGTAAAGGTTTCCCCTCACATTAAGTGTAGTCGTGTGCGACTCTGCGGGGTGGTGCCCATCTCAATTTCTAAGCTGAAGAGCTGGCGTTGCCTGTAAACACCTCCAATGTCATGTGGCCAGCATGACTTCATGGAGTGCCTTTACCTTCCTGCAGAAGTGGTACCTATTGATCTACTCACATTTGCATGTTTTCGAACTGCTAGGTTGGGAGAAGCTGGGGCTAACAGTGGGAGCCCACCCCGCTCTCCGGATTCAAACCACTAACCTTTCGGTCAGGAAGTTGAAGGGTATCTCAACCAGAATCACTGGGGTGGTGCGTGGCTTCCGGGCTGTATGGCCATGTTCTAGTAGCATTTTCTCCTGATGTTTCGCCTGCATCTATAGCTGACAATTTCAGAGAGTCTCTGAAGAAATTGCTGCTAGAACACAACCATACAGTCTGGAAACTACTACACCATTGATATCATGTCCCCTCTCGGCTATCACCAGGCTCAACATACCCAGGTCCCTAAGCAGTTTCTCATAGTGGTTGGGTTCCAAACCTTTGGTCCTTTTGTTCACCCTGCTCTGGACATGTTCCAGCTTCCAGGTGAGGTCTAACCAAAGCAGACTGACTTCCCTCAATCTCAACACTACAATTAATGCACCCTAGAATCACAGTGACTTTTTTGGCTGCTGCATCACACTGTTGACTCATGTTCAGCTTATGGTCTACCCAAGACCCCTAGATCTCTTTCAGATGTACGGCTTTCACACTAGATGTCACCCATCCATTATTGATTGATTTACGTTTATCCCAAATGGGATTCAAACTGGTTTCCAGCATAAAGATGAGTATGGGGGGAGGGGTGAAGTAGTGCAGCGGGTTAAACTGCTAGCTGCAGGAAAATGCTGACCAGGGGGTTGGTAGTTTGAAGCATGAGTCGGGTGAGCTCCAACTGTCAGCCCTAGCTTCTGCCAACCTAGAAGTTCGAAAGCATGCAATGCAATTAGAGCAATAAGTACCGCCTCAGCAAAAAGGTAAACAGGCGCCCCATGCAGATATGCAGACATGCCGGCAACACAATCAGATATGTTGTCTGTCTTTGTCTTTGTTCACTGTGTGTAAAAGACATTGAATGTTTGCCTCATATGTGTATCATAATCCGCTCTTGAGTTCCTCCAGAGAGATAAAGCGGAATATAAATAAAATGTATTATTATTATTTGAAACACAACAAGATGAGTCCACAGCAGACAAGATCACTATGCTGGCTGTTGTATTGGATCACACGTCGGACACTTCCCAAGTGTCTAGGACTGTTTGATGCATCGGTGAATAATGCGTGCAGATCCCAGTAAGGTGGCCTTCTGCAGCTGGCAGATGGTAATTTTGTCAGCGCCGATTGTGTTTTAAGTGCAGGCCAAGGTCTTTAGGTACTGCACCCAGTGTGCCAATCACCACTGGGACCACCTTTACTGGCTTGTGCCAGAGTCTTTGCAGCTCTATCTTTAAATTCTCATATTGTGTCAGCTTTTCCAGTCATTTCTCTTTAATCGCACTGTCACCTGGGATTGCAACATCGGCGATCTATACTTTGTTTTTTAACACAATCATGAGGTCAGGAGTATTGTGCTCCAAAACTCTTGTCAGTCTGAATTCGGAAGTCCCAGAGTAGTTTGACGTGTCCATTTTCTGTAATATTTTCAGTCTTGTGATCCCACCAGTTCTTTGTCGCAAGCAGATGGTATTTGTGGCACAAGTTCCAATGAATCATCTGAGAAACAGTGTTATGCCTCTGCTTGTAGTCTGCTTGCGATCTTCTTGCAGGATATGATCTATTGTTTCATCTGCTTCCTTGCAGAGTCTACATTTGGGATCTGTCATATGTATGATGATGATGATTATTATTATTTAAAACAACATGAAGTACAAAAGTTGAAACGGCATTGCATAGTATATTCAATCAATGGGAAGAACTTTACTTTTATAGTGGGGTTCCTCGCAAGGTTGTTGGATGGTCATCTTTCAGGACTGCATTCTCGAAAGATTGTGTATTCCTACCTAGCTGGGAATAGATGGTCCTTGTGGTCCCTTCCAATACTATGATTCTTTGACTAGCTTTTCCAGCCTGGTAGTATTGTTACAATATCAAGCAGTTTCCTCATAGACAAGGCAAAGAAGACTGGAAGTGAAGAAAGTTCCTTTCTATAATTAAAAAAAACCCTAAAAACTATAGACTTTTTATGAAAAACCACTTCTGTGATTATCTGAATGGGAGATTCTGAGCCTTTTATCCCACAGATAACTTCTCCAAGCTCTGGAGGATCAACTGAACCTGGGCCCTTTTCATAGAACATGCACTCCAGCACTGAAGGATGAATCTACCAGGCATGGAAAAACTCTGGCCCTCCAGGTGTTTTTTGGACTTCAACTCCCACAATTCCTGACCTCAGACCCCTTCCTTTCCCCCCTCAGACGCTTAAGTCTGAGGCCAGAAATTGTGGGAGCTGAAGTCCAAAACACCTGGAGGGACAGAGTTTGCCCCATGTCTAATCTACACTGTAGAAAGCCCTATATGACTCTGGCCCAGCTTACCTGTCCGAATGTATCTCCCTCTACATCCCACCTCAAAGTTTAAGATCTTCTGGGGAGGCCCTGCTCTCGGCCCCTCCTTTGGTGCAAACACGCTTGGTGGGGATGAGGGACAGGGCCTTCTTGGTGGTGGCCCCCCACCTGTGGATCTTGCTTCCCAGTGAAATCAGGTCAACAGCATCCCTCCTCGCCTTCAGGAGGAAATTGAAAATGTGTTTATGGCAGATAATTTGACAATGGTAATGATAATGTTATGGAAAATGGACTATGGGCAAGCTTCCGATTGTGTTGTGCTCGCTGAATTCGTTTCTACATAAGACTATACAGCCAGTATTATTGCACATTGCACTTTTTATTAACGTTCTTTTCATTTTAAAATTAATGTACTATGTTTGATATGTAATTTTGTATGTATTATTTATATGTTATGGCATCGAATTGTGCCAGATGTAAGCTGCCCTGAGTGAGAAGGGCAGGGTACAAATGTTTGAAATAATAGTAATAAATAATAATAGAAGTAATGTAGTTTGGCATCACTTGAACTGCCATGGCCCAATGCTATGGCATCAAAGGAGTTGTAGTTTTACCTACAAGAGCTTTGTGTGCCAAACTATGCTGGTATCTCACTAAAACTACAACTCCATGGCAAAGTGGTGTCAAAACTGCTGGCACCTCACCAAAACTACAACTCCATGGCAGTCAAACTGCATGAATTCTACCTAGGATTGACAGATGCAGCCTCATCCAGCCCTGCCAATTAATGTGGAGCTGCGGGTATCATTGGTTGGATTAGCCTCCTAAGGGGGTGGGCCTTTAGGGGGTGACGTGAGAGGGAGGCGGGGCTTAAGAAACCTTGCTAGGAGAACACAATCTGCGGGGCTTTCACTTGGGCTTGGATGTTGCGTCGGGTGGGGATGCTGCGGTGCGTCTCTGGCTGAGAGGAGCCATGGAAGCGAAGGCTGGATTGGGCAGGTAAGTGGGGGCATGAAGAGCCCACTTGGGGCTGAAAGGAAAAGAGGAGGAGGAGGAAGAAGAGGAGGAGGAGGAGTGGGGGGAGGCAATCCCGTTGCCAGAGCGTTTGTTGTCGGGTTTCTAGGCGGCTGCGACAGTCGTCACTTCGCTGCTTTCCAGGCTGTGGGCGACTTCCAAACACCAGGATGGGCACCAAACTTGGGGGAAGTTCTTCTTCTTTGGGGGGATGATTGTAGGATTTGAAGAAGGGGGAAAGGACTTTGCTCCAAGCTCTAGATCAGTATTTCTCAACTTTCCTAATGCTGTGACCCCTTAATACAGTTAGTTCCTCATGTTGTGGTGACCCCCAACCAGAACATTATTTTTGTTGCTACTTCATAACTAATTTTGCTACTGTTATAAATCGTACTGTAAATATCTGATATGTAAGATGTATCTTCATTCACCGGATCTAATTTGGCATAAATACCGGATGTGTCCAAATTTGAATACTGGTGGCGTTGGGAGAGGATTGATTTTGTCATTTGGGAGTTGTAGTTTATTTATTATTATTTAAGACATTTATATGCCACCCTTCTCACCCCGAAGGAGACTCAGAGCGACTTACAAGATATATATATATATATATATATATATATATATATATATATACACACACACACATACATACATACATACATACATATATACATACATACATATATACATACACACACACACACATATATACACACAAACACACATACATACATACGATATATTATTAGCATAGTACAATATCAGTAATATATATTGCTATATTGTACTATACCATTATATTGTAATATTATTAGTATTACATGTAATATAAAATACATAATTATATTATTATATTATTATATTATATTATATTATATTTATTATATTATATTATATTATATTATATTATATTATATTATTATATTATATTATTAGCACAGCACAGGAGACAAGGTGGAACTGTCTTCTGCCCCCCTCTCTCTTCACTCTGGCCCAGAGCAGCAGTTAGTGCTGGGACAAGGGGTCCCCAATTGATGACATATGTAGTGGTAGGGATTTATAGTTCACCTACAATCAAAGAGCATTCTGAACCAAACTTGGCACACAGAACTCCCATAATGAACATAAAATATTGGAAGGGTTTGCAGGGCATTGACCTTGAGGTCTGGAGTTGTAGTTTACCTATATCCAGAGAGCACTGTAGACTCAATGATGGATCTGGACCAAACTTGGCACAAATACTCAATATGCTCAAATGCGAACACTGGTGGAGTTTGGGGAAAACAGAGCTTGATATTTGGGAGTTGTAGTTGCTGGGATTTATAATTCACTTACAATCAAAGAGCATTCTGAATCCCACTGATAGAATTGGGCCAACCTTCCCTCACATAACTTGCATGACCAACAGAAAATACTGTTTTCTGATGGTCTTTGGTGACTCCTCTGACACCCCCTCACAACCCCCCCCCCCCTCCCCACGCTGAGAAACTCTGCTCTAGATGGGTCAATGGGAGCTTTTAGGAAGAAATTAGGAAAAGGAATATGAGAAGGGTCCGATCGTTTTGCTACACATCTTTGACCCCCCCCCCCCAAACTTTATAAGCATTCACACTATCAGCTCTGGATGACTAAGAATCAAAAGTAAAAACATAGTGCTGGTCCTCCATGTTTACGGATTCTGCACCCACTGATTCCACTATCCACTGCTTGAATGTGCTTGAGCCTCCAAGAGTTTAGGATCCCCAGGGCTACTGGAAACAAACCAAGAGCCCATCATAGTTAATACAGGTGGTACAGCCAGCATGGCATTGTGATTGAAGTAAACCTCTAGAGACCAAATACAGTCCAGCTGACACAAGGGGTGCCTTTCTCTAGAGACCAAGGTTTGAACCTCTGTTTTGTTATGATAGTCCAGACTATTTGATGAACTGCATCTCCCACTATAGATCAATTCAGACACTGCGGTCATCGTAGGAGGCCCAGCTCTCGGTCCCACCCCTGTCTCAAACATGGCTGGTTGGAACGAGAGAAAAGGCCTTCTCCATGGCCACCCCCCACCTCTGGAACTCCCTTCCTAAGGAGTTAAAGATGGCCCCCTCCCTCCCTGTCTCAAGAAACATCTGAAGATGTACCTTTGCTCACTGGCTTACGAAGAGGAGTAGATGGTATTTTGAATCCAGGAAGCAGGGTGAGCTCCCATCTGTCAGCTCCAGCTTCATATTCAGGGACATGAGAAAAGCCTCCCACAGGATGGTAAAACATCCAGGCATCCCCTGGGCAATGTCCTTGCAGACGGCCAATTCTCTCACACCTGAAGTGACTTGCAGTTTCTCAAGTTGCTCCTGACATGACCAAAAAAGCCAAAAAAACAACCCCCCCCCCCCCCCAACCAATATGACCAAGAAAATCCTGTGATAGGTTCACTCTAGGGCTGCCATAAGTTGAAAACTTCTTGAAGGCACAGAACAAAGAAGAATTTGACAAAATCGGCGACTAGAAACAGCACAACTGCAGTGAATGCTTACAGTGCCTACAGGCTGAAACACATGATTCCAAGTGTCATTGTACCTGGGGATTAATAGCATCTCTGGCCAGAGTGTGTGTGCCTTAGAAGGCTCAAAAAGTAAAAGCATACAGTTTTAGCCCTTTATGTATATCGATACAGTGTATATAAGCATGTGGAAAATGTTGTTCTAAGTATAACTAATTACAGGGATATTTCGGATACAAATATAAATTTCTGTTTGGAAAACTACACAATTATTTTACAGCCAGTCATTTTGGTGTCACCCAGTGCAGTTCGCACCCCACTCACCTCCCAACACCACAGTGATCCTTTTTGTTTTAACATACCTTCAAGTAGACTCATGTCAAACATATTGCAGGGTTTTCTTGCCTTTGGTATCTTCTAAGGGTGAGAACGTGCAACTTACCCAAAATTCACTCAGTTGGTTTCCATGGCTAAACAGAGATTTGAGCACTGATGTCCTAATTTAATATTCAGCCCCCTGCATAATGCATTTTATAAGACGATTATTATTTTAATTTGCAGCAATTCTAAATGTGTAACTTGAGACTGTTTTCAGTAATTTACTTTTCAGAAATTTAGTTGTAACTAAATTACTGATAGGAGCCCCCAGTGGCACAGTGGGTCAAAGCGCTGAGCTGCTGAGCTTGTTGACCGAAAGGTCGCAGGTTCGATTCTGGGGAGCAGCGTGAGCTTCCACTGTCAGCCCTAGCTTCTGCCAATCTAGTAGTTCAAAAACATGCAAAATGTGAGTAGATCAATAGGTACCGCTCTGGCGGGAAGGTAACGGCATGCCATGCAGTCATGCCGGCCACATGACTTTGGAGGTGTTTATGGACAACGCTGGCTCTTTGGCTTAGAAATGGAGATGAGCACCACACCCCAGAGTCAGACATGACTGGACTTAATGTCAGGGGACAACCTTTACCTTAAAATACTGGAAACATTCTAAATTACTGAAAACTGCCTCAAAATTATAAAGTAACACATTTAGAATTGCAGCAAAATGAAATAATAATTGTTTTCTAAAATGCCATATAAATAATACAGACAGCAGCAGTCAAAGACAAATTAATTGCTTGCATTACTCTTAAAAAGAAATGAATATGTTTTAAACTGATACCTCAGTGATGGAGTAATGATTGGATCTGTGATGAAAAGGAATCCCTGGATAAAGGACCAAGGTTTACCTGGGTTAAAAATGCCTTTGTTTCCCAGTTTCACTAATATTTTGCTCACTTCTCTTCCACCCCAGCTTTGCCTGGGCAAGAAATGCCTGTGTCTTCCTCACTCAACTGCTTCTTTCTACTCTTTCCAGCCTCACTCTCCCTTGGATATTTGTTCAACCTTCCCATTGCTCATTCCTCCTAACTTCATTCTCTTTCCATATTAGCCATATTATTTGCCCAATATGCAAATTACGTGACGGGTCATGAAAGGGTTGAAAAGCGTGCACACAGAGCTTAGTTTTTCACTCCCAAACATTCCTTTCAAAGTTGCTTAATAGGCAGAAGGTTTGGTTGTCTTTGCATATAATGGGCAGCCTGCAGCTCAGAATGCCTTGCACACTTTGGGGAACCCCTTTCCATTGCTACTTTTCCTCCTCCATAGTTTGGGCACCTTTAGCAGCTGTAGGCAATGCTAATATGGCACAAGAATACTTTTTCCAGTATTAACTCAAGTAATAACCCAATAGTTACAATTTAAGATTTAAATAGTTCTTAAATCGTTCTTAAACGTAGTTCTTAAACATCTCAACGTAATATACATTGAGATTAAACAATCCACAAATTTGCAGTTTGTTGTTACGTGCTATCAAGTCAGCTATGATTTATGACTTATGGTGACAGATAAACTGTTAACAGCTATGCCCAGATCTGTATCTCTGAGACATTCAGACTCAAACGGGTTCTGCTATGTCTTTGGATATGCAATGGATTGCATATTTTAAAGACTGTTTAAAAGGACTGTTTATTCCCTCTGTTCTCTGTGTGCATTCAGAGAGACTGCTGTAATATATTGTTGCCCTGTTTGATCTTTTAAACTGAAGTAAAGGTACTGTTACTTGTTACACAAGCCCGAGTGACACTTTATTATACTGCAGGGTATATCTTGGTTCAGAAACTGTGGTAAAGCTTCCGTTTATTTACATTTACAGCAAAAAGAACTGACCTGTTACAGCGGTTTCAAACCACTTTAAATGTTACCACTTTAGCTCCATCATACTTCTAATCTTGGGGTTTGCAGTCTATTGAAGTGCTTAACATTCTGTGTGCTTACCCTATACTAGAGTGTTAGAGCTCTCTAGCAGAATAGTTCAAGATACTACAAATCCCAGAATTCTTGCTGCCTTCAGATGTGGTGGAGGGTGCTATTCCATTACCCTGAATTGGTGTATGAGTTGATATCACTATTAAAATTCATTTCACAGTAGTCAGTAGCCAGAAACCCACCA